ATTTCTAACTAACATATTAAAAATCTACGACGAATGCTGTTTTGATACAACTCTAATTTGCATAATGTTTAAATTAGGTTAAACATATTTATATCTTAAAATATAACATTTGGCTATTGCAAAAATATTTAAACTTGTGTCTTCTAGTTTTTTGAAATGTATGCTACATTTTTATTTCTCAGTACTTATCCTATTGTACAATAGCACACCCCCTGTAAATTCTTGAACCATCAAACCTCTGTGGAAACTATAGTGAAATTCACATTTTTGTTAATGTTAACATTTGATTTCCTTCCATGGATAACAAATGTATGATGGCATCTTGAATGGCCAATGTTTTTCCAAATATTTTGTTTATTTTTCCCAAATTTATCAGAAATGTCATTTTCTATGACAACTGTAGCCTTATGGAGAGTATTTCTTCAATGAGACTTGAAAATCAAAACCATTTATTTATCCATAGGATGCAGAATAGATTTTTATCAGGTATGAAAACAGCATTAGTCACATTATACATTGATATCAGAGCTCATGGGTAACCAAGTGTATTGGCAAAAAGCACTAATATTTTGAAATGATTTTTTTTTGTTTTCTGAGAAGAAAGCATCAACAGCATGCTTGATATATTCAATGAACTCTATTAGAAAGAAGTCTACAATAATTCTGGACTTGTTCAAATTACATTGTTCAGACAAAGTAGGTTTAGTAAATTTTAAAGAAATAAATTTCTCTTGTATTATTTCTAGAACTTTTCCTTTTCACTTGTAAATTGACTAACTGATGCTCTTGGTCAGTCTCAGATTTTGACATGATATTTCTCACTAAATCTCTCACAGTTTTTTTTTTTATTTGAAGCAAGAGACCTACAATTCTTACTTTTACTTGAAAACTTATAAGTCATTATGAGGTTATTAATTCGATCAATTTTAGTATTGAGGCTCATGAACAAGGGATGCCCCCAAAAAAGAGATAGATAAAATAAATGATTAGTGGAACAGTGAGAAGAAACAAAATGTTTTTCACTTACACGTGCTATCTTATACAGGTGTAGTAGATGGTACTCCAAAACAAATACAAAAGTAATTAATGAGGATCATCAAAACAAATATAAAAATGATAAAAACATATATTTTTGAAATTGAAAGATTTGCCTAAGGCAGTATTTGCACAAAAAATGGTGTATCCATGAAGTACAATAAAATGAATCACAGCAAAATGAAGTATCCTTGTATCTCACAAGAAGTTGAAATGGTTCAACCATTATGTGAAATAGGGTAATAGCTCTTAATAAAATTTAAAAATCATTACTATATAATTTAATAATATCATTTCTGAATATATACCCAAAAATTTGAAAAGAGGACTCCAGATATTTGCATACTTATAATCATGCCAGCAATTCTGATAACAGTCAAAAGTAAAAGCAATATAAATGTTCATTGATACATAAATGGATAAACAAAATGTGATATATATGTAAAATTGAATATTAATCTGTCTTTAAAAGGAAGGAAAATTTTATTCATATATTCACATGGATGAAACTTGCAGCCATTATGTTAAGTATAAAACAGTTATAAAATTGATATTGGACGATTCTACATAGATGGAGTATGAAAAGTCAAACTCATAGTGACTCATAAATGCAAATCTGCCTTGACAAAGGAAATAATATTACAGCAGAAATAAAATAGAAAATTAAGAAAAAAACAGTGGATAAAATAGAAGGAACTGAAGATCAATTATTCAAAAAGTTAAAAATATTAAGAAATTATCTAGATTGACACTAACATCCATAGTCACTTTCGTTTTTTATTTTAATTAAATGCTTCATTCTTTTTATTAATGAGTTTGGTAAAACATTCATCAATGTTTTATTTTTTCAAAGAACTATTCTTTGTGTTCACTGATTCCTCTTTATTCTGTCTATAATAAGCTATGAAATACTGAAAAATACAATTCGAATAAAGAAAACAACATAGCAGTATAACTTAAAAGCTTACATTATGGGTGAGAGAGAAAATGTCCTTCCAAAATTCCTGTGTGTTTGGAAGGTGATTGGATCAAGGAAGTGCTTATAATAATCAATATATTTATCCACTAATGAGTTCAGCAACTGAGAGTGTTGTTATGAGATGGAGCTAGTAAAAGCAAGTAACTGAGGGTATGACCCGGAAGAGTATATTTCCTTCTTGGCTCCTCCCTTTTTTCCTATGTTTTCTGGCTGCTGATATGAGCAATTATCCTATCAGACCCTTCCACTATCTCCTTCATGCCTTGGAGCTATTCAGCTGTGGACTGAATCCTTTAAAGACCATTAGCCAAAATAAAACTATGTGTCTTTAACTTGTGGAGGAGTTGGGAACTTTGCTCCAGTGATGAGAAAGTGATTAGGATAAAATGAATAATAAAGGAATCATCAAAAACATAATAGCTATCAAATCCAAAAGAATATTGAAAAGACCATATGCAATGATGATCAAGTGGAAAATTTATTTTGAGATTGTAAGAAAATTCCACATATGAAGAGCAACCAATAAATTATGCAACAATAAAAACCTTAATAGAAAAAAAATATGTAGCTGTCTCAATGTACAGAAAAAAACTGACAAAAATACAAGCTTTTTTCTCTTTGTTTGAGTAGCTTTTCTCTGCCATTCTCTTCCACCATGCCAACCAATGATGCATGAACTGAACCCTCTGAAACAGTAATTCAAATTAAAACTCTCAACCTTTCAGTTAGGAATATTGGGTGCTTGGTGCTAGAAACATAAAATGTGACCATTACAGAAAACTGGTAGCAGAGAAGTGAGATCATTGCTCTAACTGTATATGATCATGTGATTCAAAAATCTTTGGACCTGGCTTGTAGGAATTTGGAAAGATTTGAAGATGCTAAATAAAAGCCTGAGAGCACTATGATGGGTAAGTCTGTAGTTTGGTATTTAAGAGGTAGAGCTCAATGGAGCATATAAATCATTTTAGACGTGCCTTTGACCTTTGGAGGGTTTATCTCTCACTCTGCTCCCCATCTCCTCCTCCTGCTCCTCCTCCTTCTTTTTCCTGGCTGTGATGCTTTTCAGAACAGCCCTACTATTCTTGTGAGTGTGACTACTTGGCTCCAGTATAGAATGCTCATCCCACCAGCACAGTACATTCACCCCACTGGCATGGACTTTCTGGCTTCCACCCCTGACCTTTGGGCCTTCCCAGCATGGATTCATAAAAGAGACTGGTGTGAGTCCTTGTGGGCTCCGGACTTCAAGTTGGACTCATGGGAGGCATTGTCTTGAGCTCTGAGTTTTCATCTGGACTCATGTGGGTCATTGCTGTGGGATTCAGGCCCTTAACTAAATATTCTATGTCTTTGGTGTTGTGGATAGATTTCCTGAAGTTTCTCGTGTTAATTCTGGGTGACCAGCACAAAACAGTATTATAAACTCCATGTCCTGATTCTAATTGTTCTCTGCACAACACCTGACAACAACAGAACCTCTCCTCCACCATGTCCTTTCACTATGCCATTTCTCCTTACAGTGAGCTAAATGTGCATTAACAGAAACCATGATCCCAAATAAACTTCTCATTTCAATAATCCACCATCATTAATTAAAATGCTCATAAAATTAAAAACATAATGGGCTTTATTGAACATAAAAGAAGACATTCATAAAATATCATCTAAAAAAGTATGTTGTGGAATATATTTAATGAAAAGGTACAAGATTAAAAACATACATTTTTAAAATAATTTAAAGATGATCTAAGGATCATCTTTGGATGACCATTTTTTTAAAAATATTATTACTGTAATTCATTTTTAATTGATGTGTAATATTTATACATGTTCAGGAGTTTATTTCAATATATGTATACAATATATAATGATTAGATCAAAGTACTTTTCTTGAAACATCACTTCATATTATGGGGAACATTCAAAAACCTTTTGATGAACTACCTTTTGGGTTTCATTTTGTTTTATTTTGTTTCGTTTTTTGAAACAAGGTCTCTCTAGTTTAAAATGGTCTTGAACTCACTGTACAGTCCAAACTGACCTCAGACTCAGTGAACCTCCCATCTTATGCTCCAAGTGAGTACGATTATTACCTCGTGCCACTGCCTGGCTCTATTGTCTATTTTATAAAAAAGCAAGTTTTGTTGCTAATCATAATTATCCTACTGTACTGCAGAAAATTAGGAGTTATTCCTCCTATTCAACTATAATGCTATACTATTAGTTATTCTCTCTCCAGCTCCCATCTACACTTCCTTTCACAGGATCTGATCATTGTTTTGTTTCATCTTTCAAAACTTTTTGATATCAAGTCATTAGAGATGAGGTGTAATTGTCTCTCACTGTGGTTTTGATTTGCATTTTGCTAGTGATTAATTATGTTGAACACTTTTAACATACTGATTGTTCATCTCCTTGTTTTATTTTGAGAAATGTTTTTTTAAAGTTTTTAATCTACTTTAATTGAATTACTTGAGAGGGCTGTTTGGTTTGGAATTAAGCTTTGAATTTTATTTTGCTTTAGTTGGTATAGCTTTCTTTTTTTTTCATTTTCTCTTGTTGAATTGTGTGCCTTATGTATTCTATACGTTAATATACTTTCTCATTAACAATTTGCTTATATTTCTCCCATTCTGTAGGTTTTCCACTAACTCACTTCGTTGTTTCAATTGCTAATTGGGGACTTTTTAGTCTATGAAAATACCATTTGTTAAATTTTGCTTTTGTTATCAGTACTGGGGACCATATCCAAAAGTATCTTTGTCTTAAAGCAAAAAAATATGCCTGAATCATTTTGCTATGTTACCTTGAAGTGGTTTTAGAGTTTCAGTCTTTGATTCATTTTGAGATGTATTTTGATGTTGTGAAAGGTGACTAGGTATTTTTCCTACATATAGACATCCATTTTCCCAACACCATTTATTGAAATGACTCTCCTTTCTCTAATGTGTGTTCCTCAAGCATTTGTAAAAAAATAATTGATGTGCTCACTTTGGCAGCACAAATACTACATTTAGAATGATACAGAGAAGATTAGCGTGGTCCCTGTGCAAGGAAGATATGCAAATTTGTGAAGCGCTCCATATTTTTAAAACTTTGAGCTTTATTCCAAGGCGGTAAGAGCATGCCCTGTGTCTGAAATCACCCTAAGACCCACAGGAGTTACTGGCAGGCCTAACCAGGGCACACCCTGCCACCTCAAAGCAACAAGCAGGGTCCAGAATCCAGTCCCAGGATCTGACTGTGGGCTGGTTTAATTCCAGTGCCTTAGGGAAAGCCTTAGAACTTCGGTCCCAGGCAGCACAACATGACCTGTATCTGAAATAACCAAAGGACACACGGACACACGGAGTCCTGCAGACCCAAATGGCCACATCCAGCGAGCTCCAAGTGGCAAACAGTGTGCCCCAAGAGCCAAAAGTGGGCCCGATGATTCCCAGTGCAACCGAGGAAGTTTTGAAACATTCCTCAAACCCGGAAACAGGTGCAACTCCACCCAGCCCTGAGGAACTCCACACTCCCCTGGACCTTGGCCCCAGGCTACCATGAGCTTCCTGCTCAACTCCTGCTGGCCCAGGGGAACACGAGCTGCGCTAGGACCTCGGCCCACACAGCAGCCTGCTTCCTGCATGACTCCAGTCAGCACTGAGGAATGTCACATTGTCCTGGGACCTTGGCCCTCTCCCAGTGGACACCGAGACCCAGGACATCTGCTGGCCCCCTGGGGACAACCCCTACCTCCTGGAAATATTACTGCTGTTGATCTTCAGCTCCCATTCTTTGTCCCAGAACCTTGGAGTACAACAGCTTAACTGAGCTAGCTTGAAAGGAGATTCAGTAACAGCTTCACCCAAACAGATGATCTCAGCAGGCTGCAGTCAATGTGATGAGTATGCCCCTAAAATAGAGGTGCACAGTGGGTAAATAGGTCCAGTAGTAAAGCTCCCTCCAACTAACTGTAAGGCCCTGTGATGAGTCTAGCGAGAGTGTGGGTGACCCATTCCTGCACACAGAAATCATCAGGCCTGGTGAGGAGTATGCCAATAAGGGCCCCCCAACTTGGAGAAAATCAGAAGTGCTTATGAGACACACAGGTACACAATAGGGACATAGTAGGGCCTCAGCTGACACAAACACTATAGACAAGGAGAGTTGGTGACATGGAATAACTGCAGATAAAGTAAGAGTAAAAGAAGAACTACATCTATACTCCTGGGGTTTATCAGCCAAGAAAGAATGTAGAACTCACCCAACACGCCCTGCAGGGGGAATTCATATGACTGGCCTATCTCTTCATTGAGGGAACCAGGAATTGTACAAATATAAACCTTATATTAAGACCCAAATATACACACTACCAACTGTTGACTGTAGTTTGGATTGAAGGATCAAATATCAACTCAAAAGGGAAAAATGACAAAACAAAAATGCAAAGTACAATCTCAAACATTTAGTCCACCAGGAACAAGTACAGGAGATATTGAATAGAGAACTTCAAAAGTAACACACCAGAAATTTCTGAAAAAATAGTGAATGAAAAAATAAAACAACTCCATGAGGCTACAGAGGAAATCAAATTAGAAGTACTGTCCCATGTAAAGATAGAAATAACCTTAGGAAAAAAGTTGCTGAGCACAGTTAAGAAATAGAGAAAAAAGTACAAGAGCGTGGAAAACTGAGTGAAACCTTGAATAAACAGTATAAAAAACAAGCAGAATTCAAAAAATAAACTTGAGACATCCAAGAAACAAAAAATTCTTTTTTTTATCTTAAAGAGAGTAAGATAAAAGAGAACAGAACAAAGCAGATCAGAACAATGTAAGCAACCAGTACTTCACCACAAAACAACCTGATATTAACAGTAGCTAATATAATGTTTCTTTCCTTGAAATAGTTGAGCATACCTTCACACACACATATCAAAGAAAACAAAGCAGTATAAAAGCATCCAAGACAGTGAAGAATTACAGGGCATTCAGAACCAAATAACAGAAAATGAACAATGGCTACTAAATTATCTCATTTTTCATAAAAAATTGTTTCTACTATCACACATATTAAAACACAAGAAGATACAATATGACAGAATGAGTGGAAACAGAAGAACAAAAGCATGGTAGGACTTCAAAGCAAATATGATGTTAAATCAGTAATGGCTGTCTTAACGGCTTGTTTTCTTCAAAATAGCTATTCATATCATCACATATAATAAAATAAAACAAAACAGAATAAAAACATTACAACTAATGAATGAAAACATTATAAGGCTTCGAAGCAATATAATGGGGAATAATAATTACCATAAAATTTAATGTATTCTTACTATTTCTTACACTAGGGAGACTGTATGGTATTTATACATGTGAGTTTGATTTATTTCACTTATGAGTATGGTCTCAAGTTGCATCCATTTATTTGCAAATATTTCAATGTGATGATTCTTTATAGATGAGTAGTACTCCATTGTATAAAAATACCACAACTTTTTCATCCATTCCTCAGTTGATGGGCACTTAGGTTGTTTCAAAGATCTGGCTATTACAAATTGTGCTGCTATAAACATGGGAGAATAGATTATCACTGTGGTATGATGGTTTCATTTCTTCTGGGAATATGCCCAGAAGTGGAATAGCTGGATCAAATGGGACTTCCAAGCCCAGCTTTTTAAGAAATCTCCAGAATGACTTCCACAATGGCTGCACCAGTCTAGAATCCCACCAAGAGTTCAGGATGTTCCCTTTTGCCACAGCCTCTCCAGCATTTGTTTTTGATAGTTTTCTTGATCCTGGCCATTCTTTCACAAGTGAGATGGAATCTCAGGGTTGTTTTAATTTGCATTTCTCTAATGACTAATGTTGCTGAACATTTTTTCATGTATTTATTTGCCATTTGTAGTTCTTCATCTGAGAACTGTCTATTGATCTCAGATGCCCATTTTTGGATTGGGTCTTTGAATTTCGGGGGCCTGATTTTTTAAAATTCTTTATATGTTCTAGACAGAAGTCTTTTGTCTGAGGGACAGGTCACTAAGATTTTGCCCAGCCTGTGGGTTTTCTTTTCACTGTGCTGGAGATTTCTTTTGACATATGGAAACTTTATAATAAGACATGATCCCAGTTATTGATTCTAAGAAGTATTTCCCATGTAGTTCAATTCCTGTTCATGAATTCTCTACCTACCCCTATGTCTTCAAGATTTTTACATAACTTGACTTCCACCAGATTTAGTGTTTCTTTTTTAATGTTCAGATCTTTGATCCATTTAGATTTTAGTATAGTACATAGTGATAGTCATGGGTCTAGTTTTAGTTTTCGGCATATGGAGAGCCAGTTTTTCCAATACAATTTATTAAAGAGACTGTCATTCTTTCACTGAAGATATTTGACTCCTTCATCAAAGATAAGGTGGTTGAGTGTGTTTATGGTTGTGGTTGTATCTTCTAATCTATTCCATTGATCTTCAGATCTGTTTTTATTTCATTACCATGTTGATTTTTTTACAGTAGCTTTTTAGTATAACTTCAAGTCAGGGATTGTGATACCTCCGGCCTTGCCTTTAATGTTTAGAATTGCCTTTCCTATTTTAGGTCTCTTCTGGTTCCACATAAATTTTAGGAGATATTTCTCTAGATCTATGAGATATGGTTATGGTATTTCTACTGAGACTGCATTGAATCTGTATACCAGCTTTGGGACAATGATCATTTTCACAATATTTGTTCTTCCTATCCATGGATAAAGGATGTCATTGCATTTTATGAGATCCTCTTTGATTTGTTTTTCAGGGTATTATAATTTTCCATGTATAGATCTTTTACTTCTTTTATAAGATTAATTCCTAAGTATTTCATATTTTTGAATGCTAGTGTGAAGGGTATGGATTCTCTTACGTCACTCTCAGTGATTTTGTTGTTAATATATAGGAATGCTATTGATTTTTGAGTATTGATTTTGTATCCAGCTACATTGTTGAATTTACTTATTATATCTAGGAGTATTTCAATGAAGTTGTGGGGATCTTCTATGTAAAGTATCATGTCATCTGCAAATAATGATAATTTAGCTTCCTCTTTTCATATATTTATTCCTTTTTTTTTTCTCTTGTCTAAGTTCTCTGGATAGTATTTCCAGTACTATGTTGAATAGGAGCAGTGATAAGGGACATCCTAGTCTTGTGTCTGATTTTTAGATAAAGGCTTTCAGTTTTGGCCATTTAATAGGATACTGACTGTTGGTTTGTGATAGATGGCCTTTATCATATTGAGGTAAAGATCATATATTCCAATTTTCTGTAAGGTTCTTCTAATGAATCAGGGTTGGACCTTATGAAAAGCTTTTTCTCCATCAATAGAAATGATTATGTGACTCTTACATTTGGCTCTGTTGATATGGTGGATTATATTTATTGATTTACATTTGTTGAACCATCCCTGCATGCCTGCAGTGAACCCCACTAGGTCATGTTGTATAATATTTTTTTATGATTTGCTGCATCCTGTTTGCCAACATTTTATTAGAAAATTTTGCAACTATGTTCATTAAGGTGTTCGGCCTGTAGTAGGACTTTTTAGTTGAGTCTTTCTCAGGTTTGGGCACTAGAGTAATATTTGCTTCCAAGAATGACTTTGGAAGAGTTACTTTCTTTCAATTTCATTGAAGAGTTTGAGGACTGTCAGCATTAAGTCTTCTTTGTATATCTTGTAGTATTCCACAGTGAATTCATTTGGGCCTGGGTCCTTCTTTGTAGGTAAGGACTTCATTAAATTTTTAATTTCATTAATAAAAATTTGGTTATTCAGCAGTTTTACATGCTCTTGACCCACTGTTGGTACTTCATGCTTCTAGGAACCTGTACATTTCTGTGTTATTGAACCTGAGGGTAGAGGTTTTTGAGGTGCTGGATCATCTTGGGCTGAGTCACACCCCTGGTTGGGACCCAATAGCCAGGGATGAAACTGTCTCAACCCTGTGACATCTACCACATCACAGCCTAAGTTGCTGAAGGCACTTGCTGGTTGACTGGCTCAGAGAAGAGCAGTTAGCCCACGGTACCTGCATGCACCTCAGACAATGGCAAATGGGAGAAGGCAG